AATTTTAACAAGTGATGACCCGCTCCTCTTTTTGTCTCCATCCATTCCTGCCTTGATCTCTCCCCCTCTAACTTCCCACACCCAGATGAAGAGTGGCCTTGATAGGCTCATCAATAACACAAGGAGGCTTAAACACACTTCCATTCCCACTCAAAGCTTTTTATGTTTAAGAATTACTGATAACTTCTTTCTTTTCCTCCATACTATTTCCTCCTTTTACTTTTTTCGCTTTTTTTTGGTGTTGATCCGTAAACAACACTATGCTTCTCCTTTCAGAATCAGAATCAGAATCAGCTTTATTGGCCAGGTGTGACGGACACATGAGGAATTTGATTCTGGTACATCGGCTCTCAATGTGCAAAACAGTAAACCAGCATAAGGCTGTGTAAAATAACAAAAATAGCAGTATTAACATCAACAAACAATGCAAACAATGCAGAAAAAGCTGTATAAACAGACAGTAAACAATGCAGACAACAAAGGAATGTTCATTGAAATGAGATAAATAGGGATTAAACAGAGTACTTAAGAACTAGAGACCTGTACAAGTCTCTATAATCTGTACGAGGTATATTTACAGGTATTGCACTGAGGGTTATTGCCCAATCATACTGTTGGTGGGTTAAGTGTGTTAAGTGAGCGACCGCCTGGGGGAAGAAACTGTCCCTGTGCCTGGTTGTCTTAGTGCCCAGTGACTATGGTACAGACACTATGTCTACACAGAAGTTAAAGCAGGCAGTTTCTACTTCAGTATCACTTGACTCTCATCCATACAATTGTGAGATATATAAACAAGGAAAATAAAGGTAAGTAAAAGAAAATGAAGAACTGAAAAGTAACTAAAGGAAACTAGAGTTATGAAAAGTAACTAAAGGTATGAAGAGTAACTAAAGCTTATGAAGTAACTAGAGCCTATAAGAATCAAATCTTACAGTATCTGTAATAATAACCACCCAATAGTGTAATATACTGTTTTTTGTGCCTCTGAATGGGGTTGTTCTGCATAATATTAGTATTACTTTTGCTACTATAAGTACAAATTATCAGCAATACTTTTGCAGTATGTTTTAAATGCAGGACTTTCACTTGGACCAGAGTATGTGTTGTATTGATATAGAAACGTAAGTAAATGATATTTCCTCCACTCCTGATTATATTTTGATTAATAAGCAATGAATGGTAAATTTATTACAATTAGAAATTTGATGTAGATAACAGTACCACTAGAGCTGTAACAATTAATCGATTGACTGCAATTTGTCAGTTATTATTATTATTGATCCTTTTAGTTTGTTCCAGCCTTTTAAATTGATGACTTGGTGCTTTTCTGTGTCATAATATGTGATAATAAACTGAATTTAGCTGGACTGTTGGTCAAATAAAATAAGTGTTTTGGATACATTATTATATTATAAAGTTTCATGTAGATTAGCACAATTTTGTGATATTTTACAAACAAGGCTACCAGTATCTGCAGTATTATTGTAGTGGTGTTTTAGAAGTACGGTATACCTAACGAAAGTCATTTCAGGGATTACGAAGAGGACACGTGACCAGGTTCTGCCTGTCTGATTGGATGACAGGGCGCTAGCTGATGAGAGATAGGACAAACATACAAGGGTCGTTTCTGTGTTTAGGGACTGCGAACTTGTGCTGTCAAACAATGCTTCTTAGCAAGGTAGGCCAATAAAGCTGATTCTGATTAATCAGTAGCTCTAATTCGCAAGCATATTTGTATGTGATTCAAGCTTTATGTCCTTCTGACTTACATTTTCTTTAGAGAGCGAAAGCTTTGCTTGCCGCGTCACAAGCTAACGTTAGCTTACCTGGCTGTTAGCAAATAGCTTTTAAGATTCTTTCTCATAGTGTGCAGAATTTCCAAAGGTCAGTGCCCTCCCCCCATAAAGCACGATGACTGTATCTCCCCAGTCGGGACTGTCTCCTACGCAGTGAGAATACAGTCCCGACCGCGTCTACTACAATAAACTTAGGCGCTTCTAACGTGAAAAGTGTAACGTTATTGCAGTGTACTATAATCCTAGGTAGGCTTTATTGCTTGGGCAGTTATAAGGAGTGATGTTACACTTAGGGATTGCCGCAGGTTAACTTTTTGTTTTCATGTTTATTAAACGGTAGCTGTTAATTTTTAGTTTCACATTAAATATTACATTCTAATATTTTGAACACAATCTGAGCACTGCTTTTAACCTAACTGCAGTTCTGTTTTGAGATGGGTCAGAAGCAGCTATTTATATTTCTGAACGAGTAAAGTATCATCATCATACCTGGTGTATGTTTGGGGGTGTGTTTGCATTTTGCCACTTTAATTTGAAGTTAGCCTAGCGGTCTAGGGTGGATAATTTTAAACGGAAGACATTTCATTACTAGCTTTTTATACTTTACAATGTGCCTTTGACTAATAAAAAGTGTGTTTTTAATAGTGTAACATTAAAGAATTCACTTGGAGAGAAGGTACAAGTAAAAGAAAAGCTAGTCTTGATGGCTATTATAATGGGGGGAATGTATGCAGCTCCTAAATCAGCTATATCCAAACAATGGATCACCCTGTCAGGGTCATGCAGTTCTCAGCAGGCAGGCAGATGGTGTAATGGTTTTTCATCTAGACCTGGCCAGAGAAAAACCATTCAGGCACAGGGAGAACGTTTAAAATTCACCCATCTTTTAACTTAAATGTACGTTGCTCATTTCCCCCTTCATGCACACAGGTACTCAGAACCAGCGTGCGGTCTGGGATCTGGCTACGGAGCTCCAGTACTGCTCCTGCTGCCCATGTCACAACAGCTTCCAGTGGCCAGTCATCATCCCTGGGCTTCTCGTTTGGTGAGTAAGATGTAGAGTCTTTGCACAGTCGTAAAGGAGTTGCATGCCCATATCAAAGAGTTGGTGGCTACATTTTTTTTATACAGACTTTAAAAATGTGAGTTTTTTTTTTAAGTGTTTGTTGAAACTGCCATGGGTCTTCTTGTTGCTCTGGCTCACAGAACTGAGTGATCAGCAAAAGGAGTTCCAGCAGCTGGCGAGGAAGTTTGCACGTGAAGAAATCATACCTGTTGCAGCTGCTTATGACAGGAGTGGAGAAGTGAGTATAGCCCAAAGCTTAGGCTGCAATGAATGAATGAATGAATATTTAAGATTGGTAGTTTATTGACATTGGAGTTGCAAAATGTTATCAGACTGCATACAGTCATGGCCTAAAATATTGGCAACCTTGCATTTCTGTCAGTTAACACCACTTATCCATGACAATCTCCACTCCATTTCATTGTACAGGGAAGCACGTTTCCTAACTCTGCATATGACAAATAAACACTTTGACTTTTGACCTTATTTCAGAAAATTGTTGCAATCACAAATTCATTGATATTCTGTTTTATTTCTTTTGTTTGCAATGGAACAACACAAAAAAGCCAAATCTAATACATCCTACACAGAACTCCAAAAATGGACCTGACAGAATTATTGACACTTTTCAAAATCATCAGAAATAGCTGTATTTCAAGCATGTCATGCTCTTATTGATGAAGAAACTCACCTGCAGCAATCAACGGGTGCTGGCAATATAGAAATCACACTTGCAACCAGTTAAAATGGAGAATTGTTGACTTAACCTTTGTCTCATGTGGATCACACTGAGCAAAAAAGAGCAAAGAATTGTCTGAGGATTTGCGAACAACAATAATCTAAAATCATGGACAGTCTCAAGGCTAAGAGTCCATCTCCAGAGATCTCGCTGTTCCTGTGTCCACTGTGTGCAACATTGTCAAGAGGTTTAGAGCCCATGGTGCTGTAGCTAATCCCCCTGGAGAAAAATAGATGATGGATTGTTCCAATGGTGGATAAAGAACATCAATCAACTTCCAAACAATTCAAGCTGGCCTGCAGGCACAGGGTGCTCGCACTATCTGTCCCAGGCTCAATGACAAGGAATGCTCTGGTAGGAGAACCAGGAGAGCCCCACTTCTGACACAAACATATAAAAGCCAGATTGGAGTTTGCCAAGATTTACCTGAGAATGTCCTGTGGACAGATAAGACTAAAATAGTAGAGCGCATAATTTTAATATTTTCAGAAAATGAAATGAGGCCTTCAAAGAAAAGAACACGTCCCTACAGTCAAACACGGCGGAGGTTCACTGATGTTTTGGGGCTGCTTTACTGCTTCAGGCAATGAAAAATAATTATAAATCTGGCTCTAAGATGTCCTGCTATTTTTTGCAGTATCCTGTCCCACTCATCAGGAAAGCATGGGAGCTTGGTCTGATAAATAATCACATTCCACAGGAATATGGTATGTTGTTTTCCTCCTCGCTGATACTTCAGAATTACCTGTCATATTTTCAACTTTTTTGTTTTAATGCCATGCAGATCTTGTGCACTTAATCTAGAGGTGATGGCCTAAGCTATAGCCAAACCTAATAAATATACATAAAATTTGCTGTGTGAAATGGCCCCTCTGTTGATTATTATTTTTATTTGACAGCGGAGTTGGTTTATTTCTGGCATTTTTTTGGTCTGAAAACCATGCAGGAAAACCTGTTATGTTTGTCCCTTTTGTTTTCAGGTGGAATGGGCTTGTCAGGCTTCGACACCTGCCTCATCACGGAGGAGTTGGCTTATGGCTGCACAGGAGTACAGACTGCTATTGAAGCAAACTCTCTGGGAGTAAGTTGTTAGGGTTTCCAGTGATTCATCAGCTGTTCACCGGTTTAATTCAGATCACAAAAATACACCGCTAAGGGATGCCCCTGCAGTTATAGGTCAGTGGATGATGTGGTCAACATGGCACTGCATTACATCCTGCAACACCTCAACTACCCAGCGACCTATGTACAGGTCCTCTTTGGACTTCAGCTCTGCATTCAACACCCTAATCTTGGACACCCTCCACTCCAAACTGACCCATCTCACTGACACAACGGTCATCATCTCATCCGTTGGCCCAGAGACAGGCGGTTCAACAACTGGCCCTGTGGTGTGGCCCCTCACCAATAACTATCATGAACAGTTTATCTATGTATAACAAGATATAGCAAACGCCAGAGTGCAATAGCTTTGAGATGTAATCATTATACATGAAACTGCTCATTTTAACTTGTATATTTATACAGGAGGGCCATCTATTTATAATGTTACTTTATTAAAAACATCTGCATGTTTTTACAGGATACTGAAGAATTGAACTGAATTGTTGGATCCACTAACACAATAAGCAAGTTTATTTTTAATCAGATGTGTGTTGTGCTTGCTGCTGCAGTGGCTGCCTACTCTGTAATTTGGTAATAAGGTTCAAAGGCATTTAGCTTTCTCTTGACTTGGTGAGGAGCAAGTGACCTGTTGCTTTGCTACAAATAGCAAATCCTGCTCAGTTAACCTGGAATGCTGATGTTATGTGATGAGAGATTGGGTGTTGCACTGAGGGTTAACAATACTGTTGCTGCTGCTGATTTTTTTTTATTTTTTATTTCTAGTCCATTTCCATACTGTGCAGCCGTTGGTGGTTTCAACACAAGATCAGTCATAACAGTGGTTGAATTAAGTGAAATCTGTTTTCTTCCATGCAGCAAATGCCTGTTATTCTTGCTGGCAATGATGCACAGAAGAGGAAATACCTGGGAAGAATGACAGAGGAGCCCCTTATGTGTGTAAGTGTTTAATTGTAGAAGATCAAAACGTATATCTTCAAGTACTCCTCTAGAATCAGTGGGGGAAAATAAGTAAGCTCTGTTGTAGTGAGGCAGGTGACCTAATTATAAGGTTTGTGTTTGAAATCCCAATTAGAGCATCATGACAGATTCAGTAGTAGAGCTACAATGATTAGTCACTTTATCTGTTAGTTCGCTGAGAGAAGATTAATTGACAGCTGTTTTGGATTTTTTGGTAAGTGAAGTGTTTGCTGGTTCCAGCTTTACAGGAGTTGAAGCTTTTCTTATACATAACAAGCAATTAGCATGCTGTTGAAAAAAGGGTGAATGTTGCATCAGTGTTTCACTATTTACAATGAGATTATCTCAGTTTTGTGCATGTTAATTTTAAATGTATATTTTTAAATTACAAATGGCTTCTTGTGAAGGGTGGAACATACAAAGTCCTGATCAGACAGTGACGCCTGTGTGGTGTGTTTTTGGCAGGCATACTGTGTCACAGAGCCAGGGGCTGGCTCCGATGTGGCTGGCATCAAGACCCGAGCTGTGAAGATGGGTGATGAGTATGTGATTAACGGGCAGAAGATGTGGATCACAAACGGTGGGAAAGCTAACTGGTGTGTACTCATTACCACTGCTGTTAAGGTACACCGAGAATAGATGGTGTACCTAATAAACTGATATCGGAGAGTGTGTGTGTGTGTATGTATGTATAATGAATACAAAAACGTCTGGTTTGGTTTCCCTTTATTGTCAGTAATTTGTCTTCCAGCTGTCTGTTCTTCTGAAGATTATTTAAGCATTTGTACATGTTTGATGTTCCTTAGGTATTTCCTCCTGGCTCGCACTAATGCAGACCCCAAATGTCCAACCAGTAAAGCTTTTACTGGCTTCATTGTGGACGCAGATAGTCCAGGAATTCAATTAGGAAGGAAGGTAAACTGTGCTAATCTTTTTTTCCTTTCAAATACATGAACTTGTTTTGTATTTCTTTTCTTGGAGGCTTAAAACATTGTACCAGTGGAGGCGTTTAGTTTTGTAACAGAAATAATAAAATGCTTAGAGGCAAAGTGTGATGTTTAAAGCTACTGCAACATTCATGTTTGGATGGAAGATAACATGGTGAACTGTCTATAAAAACATCAAGCCCAGATGCCAGGACATTATGGTTTGCATGAGTAGTTCATTGGTGTAAAATACTGATAATTTATCAATAACCTGTGTAACATTAAAAAAAAGACTCAAAACTCCACAAGTGAATTACTGGGCCAACAGCTGCAAGTTAACATGTGCTTGTAGGAGATGAACATGGGCCAGAGGTGCTCTGATACCAGAGGCATCACCTTTGAGGATGTGAGGGTACCCAAGGAGAACATCCTGATTGCAGAGGGAGCCGGCTTCAAAATTGCCATGGGTGCCTTCGACAGCACCAGACCACCAGTAAGTCTCCTAGGTGTAACTGAATTGGACTCTGTTTAAAGAGTTGGTGTTTTTGAAGGCTAGTGTAATGTGTTACTGCTGCAGAGGAAATACATTTATGGTGACTGGAAACAAGTCTATATCATCTTCCAGTATCTTTAGTTTTTTTTGTTGTTGTTTGTTTTTTTGCAGCAGAAAATGCAACTTGGATTTGTGTGGACTTACAAACTTGGTAAAAATCAGTTTAAACTGTTATGCTTGTGGTATTTGTCAGTTGTCTTTCAAAGGAAAAACTGATTTTCCTTTCCTCAGACCTTTCCCTTTCTCCTTGGTTTTTACATTACCAAATTAAAGGGCATTTTACCTACATCTCCAATATTCCAAGGCTACAACCATACAAGTTTTTAAAACACCAAATGTAATACTTGTTTGTGTTTATTAGGTTTACTAATGTAATTACTGCAACGCAGGTGGCAGCAGGAGCAACAGGCCTGGCACAGAGAGCACTTGATGAAGCAACCAATTACGCACTGGAGAGGAAGACCTTTGGCAAAGTTATTGCTGAGGTTTGTTAACACAAACCTTTGTGTTATTAAAAAAAACAGCAGGAAACCATGGGCTCTGATGGGCTGATATCACCTGTTTTGAGTTCACTCAGTCTAGGAATTTACCCAAGATTCTGTCTTTGTAAGAAGTACTTTCATTACTGTACCTGTTATAACTGATTCTCAGGTGTGCATAGTTATGAGTACAGGGTCAACGGGCCTCTGTCTCCTGTTTCACAGCACCAGGCTGTGTCCTTCCTCCTCGCTGAGATGGCGATGAAAGTGGAGCTGGCCAGGTTGGCGTACCAGCGGGCTGCATGGGAAGTGGACCAGGGTCGCAGAAACACCTATTACGCCTCCATTGCCAAAGCCTTTGCTGGAGACATTGCAAATCAGGTGGCCTCTGACGCTGTTCAGATATTTGGAGGCAATGGCTTCAACAGCGAATACCCGGTAGAGAAGCTGATGCGAGACGCCAAGATTTACCAGGTGGGTGACAGTGTTGTGCACCTAATCGCTGCTAGCAGAGGCATTAATTTGACAAATCTTCTTTGTCTCATGTTTCTTATTTTCTGTCTAGATCTACGAGGGCACAGCTCAGATCCAAAGACTCATTATTGCCCGAGAACACCTTGGAAAATTCAAGAAATGAACTCAGCACACCAGACTTGTCCTCATTTAAATGTGCTTTATGGTAATTTTTACCATAATTAAAGTGGCAGTCAAATGTTTAGATGTGAGTTTGAAAGACATTTTTCATGTCTTCCATATTAATCTATAATGTATAAAATAGAACTATACACCAATCCCTGACTGCCAAGGTCAGTTTAATCTTTTGTACACGATTTGCTGGAAATAGATATGGCCTGTTGAATACAGTGCAAAATGTTTGCCTTCATCTCTTTTTTTTTTTTTTTTTTTACCTTTAGGTCACATCTAAGATGATACAGTCCAACTTTCTTATTGGATCATCAAAATTTGTTCAAACTTCGACAAACGTTTGACTGGTAGAGAATTATTCAGTTTTAAATATTCGAAGTTCAAAATATGCTTCAAAAGTAAGATTGGCCTCCACCACCTTAACTGGTGAACCTTCTGCTCTAACACAGCACATGCTGTATGCAGTTTACAGTAATAAGCATGGTGGCTGTTAGCAACAATAGGCAATTATTTTTACACAGAGGTAAACAAAAAAGTTTCTAAGCAGCATGCTCGCAGGCCGTCAGGTAGCCTCTTGGGTAATCGAGATAGATCTGTGAACTCTTTCCTCCAACTACAGCTTCAGTGATTAGTTGATTGAACAGTTAGTCAATAGCAACAATTTTCTGCTAAATTAGAGGTTGAAGTTATTTTAAATATGTGCAAATATTTATTTAGGCATAGGCGTCATGTATTTTGGCACAGCTCTTTTAGATATGGTGACAAAACTAATAATCCAAGGAGATATCAAGAAGGCTGGGATTAAGGAACCTAATATTAAAGCATGAATGAACCTGTTTAGTGGGTTAGGCAACAAAAATGTAATATCAGACTAACAGGATTAATCGGTAGGAAGCACAATGTGATGCACTGATTGCTGAGAAGACAGTCATACAGATCTTTTGCTAGTGGGTTTATGGTATTTATAAGGACATTATTTCATTATAACATGGAGTCAAGATTAATTATACTGTATATTCCTTATTTTCTAACCAATCAGAACTCAGGTAATTTAATCCATATGACTCTGCACACTCCGATACAGTAGATGGCGATATGCACCTTATTCACTGGTTCGCAATCTACCAGTAATTGAAAAGAGGGGGAAGAAGAAGAAGAAGAAGAAGGAAGCGGAGTAGAAGAAGAAGAAGAAGAAGAAGAAGAAGGAGGAGGCAGTTAGGATTTTAACCGTTGTATTATTTTCAGAATGGTAACCGGTGTACCGTTGTATATATCATTGATAGTAAGTGTAGCTCAAATAAAATTGTAGGCAAGGTGGGTTACAACGACCTCTTATCTCCATTCTTTTCAAAGTTAACCACACTGAAAGCAGCTGGTAAAGCGGCTAACATTTAGCTAGCATCGGTGTTACCGTGTACCTTAATAGCACAAGTCAACAACCAAGTCATTCAGATTGTTAACAAAGGTTAACTTAGTATACGTTTTTACAGTGAATGTGCCATTTTGTCAGTTAGGATTTTAACCGTTGATGCTGTTTATGACAGGGTACCCAAGTGAAAGATGTCATCATTAAGCCTGACGCTCCCAGCACACTGCTCTTGGACAAACATGCTGACTACATCGCTGCCTACGGCAATAAAAAGGATGAATATGTGAGTAAAGGAAATTTAAATGGCATTTAACTTGTTTTTTCTACCTTGACTGTGTACCACAAAATTCTGGGCCCCTGTGTAACATCTAGGATTAAATAAACAAAGTCAACATCTTTAGTGGTTATTATGGCTGTGTGTGATTGTTTATAATAGACTTAAGATTTCCAGTTAGAATTAACTTGTGCTTCTCCCATAACCTGTTCTGTATGTTAAAACTCTCTCCATACACTACAGTGTTTTAATTTCATTATTTAACCTCAGCCCTCAGAAAAAATCTGTCATATCCTACATGTTGTACAGGTTATTTGTGCCTTGTATGTGTTTGTTCAGGAGTACACGCTCTCAGAGTACTTGAGGATGAGCGGGATCTATTGGGGGCTAACGGTGATGGATCTGATGGGCCAACTGCCTCGAATGAACCGCCAGGAGATCATAGACTTCATCAAAGCCTGTCAACACGAGTGCGGAGGCTTCAGCGCCAGCATTGGACATGACCCCCACCTGCTCTACACACTCAGCGCCGTCCAGGTGATGTCTAATGCAGTCATCATGACATTTGACAGATTACTACTTATTCTTGTTTTCTCAGCAGCTTTTATTCTGTGACATTTTGGAATACATCTGAGAATTATTTGTTCAGTTAATTGATGAGTTGTTTTTCTATAAAATGTTAGAAAATGGTGAAAAAGCCCCAAGGTGATGCCTTGTTTTCATAATCAAAAACCCACAGATAGTAACATTACTATCACAGAATACTCTAGAAACCAAAGAAACTGGAGTCAGATAATTTCAGAATTCTGTATTTACACAATGACTCGAAATTGTTTTTGATTTAGATTTTTTTTGTGAGTCAACTAAGTGATTTATGACCTAATTGTCACAGCTATAGCTGGAACTATTGCCAAATAGAAAGATGGTATTTTACTGCGATTTCAGTTTAAAGAGATGTCATAGAATATAAAAACATATAAAAAACAGAAAAATAATAATTTGTTTTAATCCTAGATGTCACATAAATTCTAAAATAAATTTGGTTCTTATTGATGTGGAATAAAGCTGTAGTAAGTCATAAAAATGAGCCATAAATGCCATAAAACTGCTGTTTTCAGCCTCTTAGATATTTAAATTTTAAGGTTTACTCTTTTTTTTTTAAAATATCTTTTTCAAATGATTTTTGGGTTTTCGACTTTTGGTTGGACAGAACAAGGCATTCGAAGCCGCCATCTTGAACTTGAAGAAACTACAATTAATATATTTGACTATTTCCTGATATTTTATAGCATAAAGATTTAACAGAGAAACCAATCAGCAGATTAATTGGTAATGAAAATAACTTATCTGCAGGCCTACATTAGGATTTTGTTACTGATATTTTCTAGTAATTTCAATGGTTTCTTGAGCAGCCTTATCTGTAGTTTAATTTTTTGTGCGATAATTCTTTTTTAACTCCCAGCAAATCATCTGTTTATATGTTAGCACCAGATTTGAAGATGTACCTTTTATTACTTGTGTAGTTACTTTTTCCTAATTACTCTTCCTTAGATCTTGTGCTTATATGACAATGTGGATGCGATTGATGTGGACAAAGTGGTGGAATATGTCAAAGGGCTGCAGCAGGAGGACGGCTCATTTGCAGGAGACAAATGGGGTGAGCCAGGTTCACTTCAGTTCATGTCAGCTCAAGAAACATTTGCTCCTTGAATGAAAAGCACAAAAGCATTTTAGTACATTTGATAAAACAATGGGTAATATCAGCCCAGGCTTTATATCCATAAGTATCCATGAGTACTTATTTTCAGATCTGTTTGTAGCAGTATTCAACTTTATCAATCAGTGTTATTCAGAGCTTCTAGCTGAAATTCCAAAAAGAAAGTATGTTGTCAGTTATTATATTATAGTTTGCTTTAAATATAATATTAAAATAGTCAGTTGCTGTTATATTATAATTGCAGTTTTCTGTCTTTACAGGAGAAATAGACACAAGGTTTTCCTTCTGTGCTGTTGCTACACTTGCATTACTGGTATGTTGTGACTTTTGCCAAAGGTTTTTATCATTAGGTACATGCACTTTATTGCCAATTTATTAGGTCCACATAGCTAAAGGTAATGTAGTTTAATACAACAGTGCTGATCATTTTGTAGGCGTTATACTTTTTTGTCCACCCCGTTTATATCACTGAGGGTAGGCTAAATAATAGCAACACTGGTCAATATAACGCAATGTAATTCATCAGCAGCACAAAGTACATCTTCCAAAAATAACATACAGTTGGATCAGCAGCTCTCTGAAACAGTTGGAACACAAACTGAACATCGTCGCCTTCATGAAGGAGGATTTATTTCAGCACTGTCGGATTAGACTGCATTAGTCTGAGCTCTGTGTATGTCATTGATATTGTAATTTGATGATGACTCTTGGGCCTCTCCTGTATTTAAGGGAAAAATGGACATGATAAATGTTGACAAAGCTGTAGAGTTCGTCTTATCTTGTATGAACTTTGACGGAGGTTTTGGCTGCAGACCAGGTTCAGAGTCTCATGCTGGCCAGGTGAGTCCACTGATACTACTCATTCATAATAAGAGTATGAGTAACACAAATGTCATGAGAGTTTCACTTTTTTAAGCAAAGCAGCAAGATTTTAAGTTAAAACTAAAAGTGGAACTGAAAAATCGCACAGTTAATTATACTTCTCACATCACAACTGTGAGGCTGCAGGTTGGTCTACAGGGAGTGATGTTGACTCATAGCTGAGAAGTGGACAGTCAGTAACAGAATGAAATGTTCTCTCTCTGGAAGGTGGCTCATTTTACATTTACACACCTCTTGAGCAGTGCCATGTTTTAAAATCCTTCTCAAATAAAACCTCTGTGTTCCTCTCCTCTCTGTCTGTCAGATTTACTGCTGCACTGGTTTCCTCTCGCTTACCGGTCAGCTGCACCAGGTGAATGCTGACCTGCTGGGCTGGTGGCTCTGCGAGAGACAGCTGCCATCTGGAGGCCTCAACGGACGGCCTGAGAAGGTTTGGGCATTCTAGATGTTGTTCACGGGAAATTAGATGCCACCTTGTCATTGTTAATTGTTCAGCAAAACCGGGCATGAATTTTAACATGAACATGTCTGGTCTCAGGAGAAAATTTGTCTTTTATGTGGGCATAAGTAGTTTTTCTAAAGCTTTAAGAAACAATGACTGCATGCAGTACTGAAGGAAAGCTAGACACACACAAAAGGGGGTGCTCACTTCACATTTCAAACCTTTCTGGTCATTCCTCAGATTGGTTTTGTTTTTAATTCTGTGCCTTGATTTTTGCAACTTATAAACATCGTTCATATCACTCTAATGTGAATTTATCAATACCATTTGCTTAAAAAAGCATTAAAACTATTGATAAATGTTCCCTTTTTTAAATAGAGGCCACTGTCTGTCAGATACTGGTTAGACTTTAAAGTCAAACTTAATTCAGTGAGGAAGTAGTGCAAGAAAAGAAAATAATTGGAAAAGATGAGAGATTTCAAAAAGCATAGCTCATTTTTTATAGCCTGCTACATGTGTAGATCATTTTACCTTAAACAGTGGTTAACCAGCACAAAGCCGGTCCTAATTTAGTTGCATCTATTACACCAAACCACAGCAAAATGTGTTGTAACTGCTACTTTGTTTTACAACAGCTTCCAGATGTGTGCTACTCATGGTGGGTGTTGGCATCGCTGAAAATTATCGGCAGGATTCACTGGATCGACAAGGCCAAGCTGCGAACGTTTATTCTGGCCTGCCAAGATGAGGAGACAGGAGGTTTTGCTGATAGACCAGGAGACATGGTGAGCTGTCAAACACAACTAAAATCCATGTGGAAACAGCAGTCTTTCCTCAAACCCCCCAGTAGTCACCTCCATTCCCCTGACTACTATTGACTCTCCTAACATTTATGGATGCAGTCCCATTTCTTACTAAGACTGTGAAAAGCGGACACCCACTGTTTGATATCGGGGGATTTATTTCAGAGGAAATAAACATGTTTATAGCCTGTTTACAAGAAAAACAGTTTTGGTCTCTATAGCAAATGTCCTCTTCTATGACAACTGCATGGGGGTGAATTTTATATTACTCAATCCTTTTAATTATATTGTGGCTAAAAGTTATGCCTAGTTAAGGGTGTGGCCGCGCTGCATGTCAGGGTCTAGTCAGCCTGCTACAGCTTCACTCCCGTTCCACCTCTTTGCCCATTTTTGGATAAGCTGTAGCAGGTGGAGTTAAGCACCATCAGTATGGCAGGAGCCCGACTTGAGACTCAAAACCACTCTTTCAAACCTTCAGTGGTTATTACAGCCACAGCTATTAGTGGAGGATGAAACATAACTCATTTTATTTTTAGATCCTCGTGAGTCACACTAATTTCTGCCCTTTCTTTTTTGCAGGTGGATCCTTTTCATACTCTGTTCGGAGTTGCAGGCCTCTCCCTCCTCGGAGACGAACAGATCAAGCCAGTGAATCCCGTTCTGTGCATGCCCGAGGACGTCCTGCAGAGGATCAGCCTGCAGCCAGACCTCCTCAACTAGCCCTCTGACACAATTATCCCCACATCACACACTCGTACACACACACTGCTGCCCTGCCACCCCTGCTACCCTGCTAGACGTTGGGAGCAGAGAGGAGGACCACCATACATTGTTAGCTGAAGTCTACAGGCACTTTATAGAAGCAGGGTTTGGTCTGTGCTCAGAAATGACAGACAACATAACAGAGTTCTGACTCGTTTACTTTGAACCTTTCTGTCTTTAAACCCTGAACCACTCATTATTGTTACCAAGACAGTTTTTTTGGGTTCACTGCAAGGAAAGTGGTGATTTTGAGAAGTGGTTTTAGGTTGTTGTTGAAAGAATGGGAAAGAGATATTTTGAAATGTAGTCATCATTGAAAATGCCCAAACATCATTAAATAACATTCCTGAACCTATTCGCTTGTTGACTAAGTCAGTTTGAGAGAAGACTCGCAGCTGTTAACGCACAGGAAACTGTCGGGAAATGTATCAGTCTCTTATTTCTTTTTTGCTCTCATCACCTTTTAAGCTATTCCACTTGCCAAGGAAGTAATTACTGTAATTAGTTTTTTGGTTAGAGACTGAGGGAACGGCACTGATTTCACCCTCTTTTGTTCTGCTATGCCTTATTATAATATTCACTATCTGAGTGACTGAGGAATTATTCTGCTTTTCACAACCACTTTGGTACATTTGACCATGAAACAGTAGAAGGATTATGTGTGGAAGAGCCAGATTCAGCTGAGGGAGACAGAAAGTAGGAGTTAGGTTTGTGTTTTTACAAGTCACTTGACTTTCAGCGGCCACGTCTTTTTTTCTTTCTCATTTGGAGCCTTTTAATGTCCTCACAGATTCAAAATAACTTCCATATTTGAAAAGCAAGAGCATGAGAAGAGCAAACTGTTTGCATCTTGTTTACACTAGAGCAATCATACTGACACTGTGGTTGTAATAGCTCCCATAGCTGGAGATGCAACACAGGACAGAGTGTTTTATGTCCCTGCATTAAAATAACTTCAGTTTACAATATAGACAGTTATTTTGGCTGGCGTTGGAGGAATGAAACACCCAGGGGTAGAACACTGTGGTGTTGTCGTCTCCTGCCAAGAAGTGTGCAACATCTTTTCCACAGTCTCAGCTGCACTATTTATGTAAATCCTTGATACTCGGCCTGGCAGTGTCACGCAACCTGGGGCAGACAGGCTAGTTTTGCCCCCACACCATCTTTCCAGTTGTTAGATAACTCAGTGTGACATTACTATGTAAGTGAAATAAATAATGCAGCAGATTTTCACAAATCTGAGTGACTGACCAACACTTTATTTCAAGTCTCCTATTTAGCTTTTATGATTATATAAACATTTATGGTTTATACTGTAATACACTGTTATGTAGTGGTAAGCAGATATACAGTAAGTGTTTATTAATGTATTAGTAAACCACAACAACTCTTGGGCATCTGTAAGTGGAGGCTGCTGTATCAATGTTGGTATATTAAGTTACAGTTGTAATAATGTTTTCCTAGGTAAAATCTTTTCCAATCACTAAACACAGTGTCCTATAGCTGCATACGACTACATAAGTGTTTTCTAAACAATTTATTAAACATTTTTCACATGCTATAAATACTAAATAGGGTGGTGTTACCAATGACAGACAACTGATAAGTGTATTAACTGTCAAAAGCTTAGTGATCACATTTCTTAATTAACTGAGCAACTTAAAATCCTTAAAAACAGCTCAAAACCAAGTCTTTGTGCTGTGGGGCGGCTCTCATCCAAACATCAGCTGACTTGCACATCTAAATGTGTGCATGTTAATGTAAATTGTTATTGTGGTTGACAATAAATGTACGACTTTCCTGAGCTATGATGCACTTTGTTTTTGCACAGAGTTGTGCTCCAGCATGTGAGTGAACTGTTACTAAGCAGAAACACATGGGATGTAACCCAGTTCATTTTTGCCACTGTACATCACCAGATCTCTCCCAGTGACATCCAGTAAGAAGTAAAAATGTCTGCAGCCATTTAATTAGTTAACATGGCAGATGTAACTTTTATAGCTGCATGTGCCCACATGTATGTTGTCACACGTATGTTCTACTAAAATTAGGCCTACACAGTGTTGTTAGCGTCCTTTTACCTACGTATGTTAGTAAGATAAATGTCCAAATTAGAAGTGGTACAGTTACAGATTAACCAATTAGTTAATGGATGAATCGAAAATTTTTCTACAGCTGTTTTGATTATGGATTATTCAGATCATTTATAAAGTTAAAATGTCAAAATTATTCTTGTTGCTGACTCTGCACGGCACAGATAAAGATAAAAATATTGTCTGCAAGATAATTCAAATTTATCTTTACTCTGCTCATCACCAGTGTCTCTCCACTGACCGGCAGTGCACTCAATACTAAGTAATCAGCTTCTTCCTGTAGTGCTCCTTTTAGAAAATCCTAATGTATCGTTATTGCATCAAGGTATGTATGAGATGCTGTTAATTCTTGTTTAGGCCAGACAATCCATCAGGTTTTTCATGCGTGAATTTATGATAATTCATGTACCCTTATCATAAATTGTTAGCACATGGTAATCATATTGATTTATACCATGGAGACTGTAGTAATAATGTTGGCACCCCAGAAATGCCACTGCTGATACAGGATGAGAAATATGCTTCACAGCAGTGGCACATTGTGATAATGGAGCAGTGTAAAGATTGATCCGCTCTGAGTAGTTAGAGGCAGGTAATTTTCTCCTTGATGTAATGAAGATAAGGACTCTCCCTGTAATGTACAGCGTGATAAGAAAATGACACTTTACCTGGAGCAGTACCTCATAATGGATTTCATAAAATGTCAGACTAATGATAAAGTGATAAAAATAACTATGTAGAATATTATTATCTCCATGGACTAATTACTGCATCCCGATAGTGGAAAAACTCATTTTAATATTCCCATGGACTTCTGGGTTCCTGCTCAGGGGGGAGTGTATTTCTAAAGGAGCAAAAAAATGTCTAAGCTCTGGTTCTTGTCAGTAGAAAAACAGTAGAACAGTTGCTGCTGGTGTGGTCGCTTTAGTTGAAGTTGTGATGTCGTCTGATAGGGTTAGGGTTAGCATCAATATACTGTATGTCTTTTAATTGCTTTGGACAAAGTGACCAACTGAGGTCCAAAATCTCACAACCAACTAAAAAAACTAGAAACAAGAAAAACAAAACTCCTGCACTGTCCTAAAAAAACAGTGAACACTGAACTGTCGTAAGACAAAATACTTTCAGATATTCCAGATATATCAAGGATGAAGATGGCTTTATGTCCCAGCTGAAGAGGTTTGACTTCACAGTTTCCATTCACAGAAAGACATTAAGACATTTTAGGAAATGGCTTAGAATAAAGTCTGGAACCAGAGGAAAACAGCTGCTGTAACTTAGCTCTGTCTAAAGATAGTAAGATCTACATACCAACATCTCTAAAGCGCAGTAATTTAGCAAACTCTTCAGTTATTTTGCATCTTTTTGTGGTTTTCTTTTCTCTTTGTAGTCATTTTAAGTCTTTTTGGCACCATTTTGCTTTTCTTTGTGGCTGTTTTGCATTGATTTGTGGTCATCTTGCATGTCTCTGTGTGGGCGTTGAATTGACTTTCCAACAAAAAAATGGAAAGGCATATATGGAATCCAGGACCCTGGGCCTGTACCCAGCAGACCTGTTCAGTAATCCATCCATGATACTAACTAGTTAACAACATATCGCATTCTGACTCTAGTTTGGGAGGGGGGGCGCATCCCCAGACCCCACCTCTGATCTTGCTCCATGCATTTTTGATGTGTTATTCCCAGTGCAGCATGAATCTGCAAAGAAACAGTGGCAGCCCTGTGAGTTCTGTATTTATTTGTCTATTTATTTAGTTGCTGGGGGAACAGTAATCTGTGGGCCACTGGTGTCTGGGCAGAGACAAACACGCTAGTTGTCACGCTACTGAGAAACCCCACCGGCTCTCATTAGTGAGGAAGAGAAAGATGGAGAGCAAGACAGAAGGTGGGAGAGAGGAAAAAAGAAAAGTGTGAATTGGAGACAGAGGCAGAGAGCGAGGAAACCAGAGAGAGAAAAAGAAACATTAAGACAGGCGGACAGATCACAGCCCCTCAGTCTTGTTTGTTTGCAGAGAAAAGCCGCAGCCCATTTTTCCTCCCGCTCCTCTCCTCAATCCTTTCACCATCTTGTTATCTCTCAGCACAAAATACTGAGGATTAGTTCAGGCCATGGGGATTACCAGGGACACTGTGTGACACACCGTTATTATTCACCCTCAGTAGTTCTAGTATGGTCTGATTTTACAGCTCAACACTGACATGGACAGGAAGCTCGTGTTTTTACAAAGTTTGTTTCTACTGCATTCATAATTTACTTCATGCCACTGTGGATATTTCATACCTGTCAAGCTGTGACCGTTTCTGCTCTGCAAGCAGAAACTATTGCTTTGGTTAAAGCTGTGATGTTCTCTGATACACCTGTCACACAAAAATATAGATTTTCAGTGCTTTGGTCAAAGTGAAAGATCACCTGAGGTCCAAAATCTCACAGCCAACTTTATAAAAACTTGATTTAGAAACAGTCTGTAGCTGCCCTAAAAACTAATTGATCACTGATCTGCTGTAAGAAAAAAAGTCTCAAATGTACCAGAATATGTCAAAGATGAAGATGAATTTACATCCTAGCTCAAGACGTTTTACTTCACAGTTTCCATTCAAGGAATAGTTAAGACCTTTCAGGAAATATGTATGTTTACTTTGACACCCATTTGACTGCATAATTTGCTTCCTTCACAGAGATCAGATGTCAGTGTTGTTTGTGTCTGTACGTTTTGTCCTTCTTTCCAGACCTTAACTTGTTGGACTATCAGGAGAAAAATATTTACCCTGAGACTAAATGCAGTATTTCTAAAACCCGCTCTCAGTGTTCGTGGCATAGAATTATATTTTATTCATTCATCAACCATCCATTTTCCTCCGCTTATCCGGAACCGGGTCGCAGGGTCATCAACCATTGTTTTGTTTTTTTTAGGAAAATGCAACCGAGCAGCATCCACGGCCTCACGCTCACAACAACAATCTGCTTTTGTTTGCCAGTGAGCAGCTACAAGCAAAAAAATCTCAACTCAAGGTCCATGTAATAGCTGTTCTGGAGCTTTTGATCATATCACATGATCTTTATTGGCAGAGCTGTATGTTCTGTAGCTGTGATAAGCCAAACATCTTCAGTTTCAACTGGGGAAACTCCATCTGCAGGTGGAGATCATGATTGTTGCTGGGCTGACATTTGACTTTGAATGAATAAAATATGATTCTGATCCATGAATGATGAGCTGAGTTCTCAGTGGACACGGCAGTAAAACTGGGGAATAAGCATTAGAAGGCCACTTCCAGTTGCACTGCCCTCCACAAAACTCATCCCTTTTCTTTTATTTATTATTTGTTACATTAAAGAATTAAT